ACGAATAAGTAATTATATTTTGTAGCAACGAATAGCCATAGAAATAGTTCAGGCTATCTTCAGAGTTATTGCAGGCCCACTTGCATATATTGCTCTGCCGTGAAACATACAATTTTTTTCTCTGTTGTTAAGTTACGTGATATGATGCTAATTTTCTATTTTTTGTTGTATTAATTGTTGTTGTAATAAAAGTAAACGGAGATTTTCCCTTCAACTATTAAACGTTAATATGCTTGAAAATAACAAAAAGTGCAGATTCCACTCTCGAGAAAAAAAAGAAAGTTTTATGGATAAAAAAAACAAGGAAATGAAGGGCAAATACTTAAAAGTCTTCATTTTTTGAGGGTCACTATAATGCATTAACTCATATAATAGAAGAATATACTTTGAATTCTAGTCATACATAAATTCCTATATAGATGTAAAAAAAATGCATATTGTTGATAGAGTTTCGAGTTATCAGATATGTTATAACATTTAAGATTATCAAAAACATAATGTTCTTAGATTATACGACTGCTATATTAAGCTAGGTAAAACGTATCGCCGCTATTCACTTAAGGTTAGAGTGTAGAACTGTGTATCACAGGGTCCATGGTTCGCTAAAACATGGCTGGGTGCTGTTGACTAGCTGTCTTTCCTCTCGTCAATTAGGAATGCGAGTCAACTTCTGACACACTTTGTCAGGATCATGTTATACTCACATTTCGCTTTACCTTCAACATATTTCAATCAATAATTGACTCATATTAATATACATAACAAATTGCTGTTTATTACTTTAATCAATATTTAGAATTAAGTTTTATCATTTACTGATAGCATATTACTTCTTCCTTCGTTTCTCTTTCAGTTTATTCAGTCTTCGTCATATCTCCGGGTATTCGTTTTCTTTCGTCTATTAAACGCCTGTCTTTTATATTTCTTTTCTAAAACTACGCCAACTGTCTGACTTTCTAATTATCGTAGGGGTATCTGTAACCTCACAGAAGTTAAACTCTTAAGAAAGGCAGCCTGTCAGATGTTAAGTTATGGTATGGTTGCCAATTGTCAACTAAAAGGCTTTTACTTATACTTCTTAATAGTATAAATATATACTATGTTGTTGTTGGGCTTAGGATTCTTCTACAGTTGATGTCTGTGACTTGTTAGCGATAAATTCTACGATAAATGAACAGCACGCACTCGACTTGTTTTCAAAATGATATATATAGAGATTCGAAACAAGTTTAACGTATGTACGACAAATTCTTTACACTATAGGGATATCAGAAAAACTATATGGTTCTCTTCTTCTGATTTTTTGTCAGTGATTTGCAATTCTCATCCATATTAGTATTAATTCTCTATTCTTAAAGAGTGAACAGCACATTTTATAACCAGTAAAAGTTAACTGAACCACTATTAAAATCAAAACGGCAAGACGAGAACAAAAAGGAAACTTATCTCTTTCCTGACTTCACTGTTTCATCCAGTTGACTTCCCTCCTCGGCTTTTGTTGTGATTTCCACTTAAAACACTTCTTTCGTTGTTTGGTTTCGATTTTAACAAATTGATGAACCCCATTTTAAACTCTTCATCCATTGTTAGATTTAGATTCCTAACGAATTGACAAGTTCAATTTCAAACTCTTCTTTCGTTGCTGGATTTCGATTTCTAACGAATTGATGCATCCTACTTTTGATACTAGTTTGTCTTGAGTCGACTACTGACACTGCCTTGTTATGTTCACGATGCTAGAAAAACACGTAGGTTCAAGAAGTCTTGATAGAAATGAATAAAAAACCCTATAACCCGAAAACTTTCTATGAACACTGCCTTGTTATGATCTTTCTATACTCGTACTTCGTTTTCCTTTCAACTTTATTAAGGTTGTACTTATTTCTATCAGGAATTGACTCATACTAATATTCATAACAAATTGGTGTTATATTACTGTAGTTAACAGCACATAGATTTAGAACCAGGTTTTATTTCTTACTGACAACATATTATTTTTCCTTTCGTCTCTCTCTTAGTCTTCCTCACATCTCCCGGTCTTTTTCCTTCTATTAAATGCATATCTATCTATCTATCTATATATATATAGATATATATATAAGGCACAGAAATCCGTGTGTCTGTTGTCCCTTATCTAACTACTCCTAGGTCACTAAACTTTGTGGATGATAGTTTGGGACAAGGCGCATGTTAATAGAGGTTCCGAACCCCCTCCATCCCATTATTGCTGTCATTGAGCATTTATTATCTTAGACGTAAGTTAACGTTAACTACATTCATAGATGGCTCTACGTCCTTACATCGAAAAAAAAAACTATTAAATTTTCTATAACATAAGTTGGGGTACAGCACACAAACGACTCAGAGAGTGCGCTAGCACTTTCTATGGTGGAATGCAATGAAACAAAATGGTTGTCACTATTGTAATAATACATAAATTCAGTTGAAGTTTATTTCCAACAGCCACCATAAGGCTGATATGAAGAGTCATTTCTTGAGTTATACCAACGTCCCAATTTGACCCGTGACCTTTAAACTTCGGCCCGTAAGACACTTCTGCAGTCAATGGCCGTTAATTGATTAATAATGTGAAAGCAGGTAACAGAAAGCACACTTACTGCCACTAACTTTTTGCTACCTCTTCCTACAAAATCACCCTGACCATCACACAATGTATACCATGTTTTAAGTATATACATAGTGAGTTCCTAAAGCTTACACAAAACAGCTGGTGAGGTAATAATGAATACTATAATAATATGTTATATTATAAATAAATTGTGTGAAAGTTAGGATTTTTGTGTTTTATATATATATATTTATTTATTTACATATACATTTATCATTAGGAATCATAAAAAGGACAATAAAGTTACCTTTAAAATCACATCATTAGAAGTGACCTCTGAAGTCACGAAGCCAGTAGAATCTATATATATAAACGTATGTATAAAAATTAGCAGAAGTTATGTTGTCACCTTTCAAATAATTCAGTTCTTAGCAAATCTTCACCACGATTATCAGAACTCGGTTGTTAGCATTACAAGCCTCCAGACGTACTGCTGAGACTTCCAGGGCAAAATGTGAAATGAGAATTTTGTTGTACATTGTATATTTCTAAGCATTTAATTAGCATCCGATTTAACACTTTATAATTTCTCATAAAATTTTTATTTGAAAAAGGTGTCAGAGCAAAGGGGGTTAAAATCTTCTGTATCCGTCTTAAAATTGTCTAAAGGTTTTTTGACTGTTGTTTCTATGTGACAATTTTATTGATAACCTAAACAAACAAATTAATTTTTGTAGAATAATAGGTTTCCGTCTCATCAAAAGTAGATGCTAGCCACTTTTTAAAATATTTAAATACTATTTATTTTTTTCTTACTCTTAAAGCACTGATACTTTCATTATTTTTATTAGCAACTACAAAAATGCTCCATCATGTTGAAGTGTCTAGCTCAATGGTGAGTCCTGAAAACGAGGCTAGTGCTATGGAAATAATCTCGTCAAGTTCCGCAATGGACTGGAATAAGGTTTCAACACATCATATTAAGAAAACAAGAAGTTTGGAGATTAGTATTTTATCGTTACTACACGGCTGTAACATCCCATCACTGACCAGAACTAGTGCTATGCCCTCTTTGACTTCATTGGAAGCTGTTCAGGAAATGCACGAGGCCTTTAAGGTTTCGCCATTTGCTACAGGTGAGTAGAAAACTAAAATAGATCCTTTAGAAATATGTTTCAAGCATGTTATAGAGCAACTACTAAGCCTGATGCCTGATATCTATAAATAATGGTAAATAGCATAGCATAATACTTTCTAATATTGTTTGTTACACATAAAAATATACCACCTCTAATGTTTTAGTTTTATGAATTAACCGAAGTCAAACGGTTTAATATCTGATTTGTATTCAAATGGCTTGACATAAATTCTGTTATTATTTTCATATTGTAAAGAAATTTTATTGATGGTTCAAAAGAGTCAAACTAAGAATAAAGTATTGGTCCTGAAATGCAAATAACTAAATATTGACCTCATACCAGTCTTCCGCTATGATAGAATAATTCGATAATATTTCTAAAGTTGAAATGACTCATTCCTTGTCTCGTAACTTTTAGAAATTGCAGGCAAGTGTAATAAATATCTCTTTTCAAATTACCAGAAAAAAAAAATTAAATGCAAAACTATAACAAAGAATCACGAATAAATGAAATATATTTAAATACCAAAGATTATTGAAAAACATGAAATTACAAATTATTTATTAGTATTACGGAAATAACATGAAAGATCAACAAATAATTAAAGGCTTCCAACGCTTCATAAATATTTTTGATATTGTTAACAGAATTACCAATGGTGTAGTTTTGCGGTGTCGCGAGGTTCCCCAACCTCTTATTTCATGTACAGGGGGAGCCCCGCTTCTATATTTTAAATGCAGACTGTTTCCCATGTTGATTTTCTAAACACCAAGATGTGGATCGATGGGATTATAATCATATCTCTAATATGGAAGGCTTTATATAAAATTAAGTTTTTATTAATAGCTGAAAGCTATCTGATCTTATAATTACTGCTTATTTACAACAAACTTAGGCACCCGTACTTTGCCCGAGTTATGAACTAAAAAATAAAAATTGTGTGGGTGCGTGCTATGATAAATAACACAAAAATACTAACTTATACACAATTTATTTGTAACATAATATATTATTACCTCACCAAAAATATTGCATAAGCTTTAAGAACTCACTGTGTATATACTTAAAATATGGTATACATTGTGCGATGGTGAGGGTGACTTTGTACGAAGAGGTAGCGGCCAAAGTATTGGCGGTAGGGGTGCTTTCTGTTACCCGCTTTCAACAACTAGATCTTAATGCCCTTCCACAGTGTTTTACGTGATTAATTAATAGACGGCCATTGGCCGTAGGAGTGGTCTTACGGGCCGAAGTTGAAAGGTCATGGATAAAAGTAGGAAGTTAGTATAACTCAAAAAACTGCTCTTCATATCAGACTTATGGTGACTGTAAGAATAAAAACTTCAGCTGAGTTTATGTATTATTGCAATAGTGGCGGCCATTTTTTCATTGCCTTCCTTCATGGAGAGTGCTAGCACGTTCTAAGATATATAAGACATTTCTATCCCCTCCCCCTTCACTGTGTGTATGTTGTGTTATAGAAATTTTTATAAAAGTTTGTTTTTTCTTTTGTTGTAAGGACGTGAGGCCATCTATGAATATAGTTAACGTTAACTTACACCAAAGATAATAAATTCTCAATAATAGCAATAATGGTAAATAGAGGGGGTTTTGAACCTCCATTAACATGCCTCTTGTTCTACACTGTTATCCTACAAAGTTTGGTTGAGATTAGCCCAGCGACGCAGTAATAGTTAGATAACGGACAAATAGACAGGCAGACACACAGCTTTTTGTGCGTTGTATATACATAGATACTATACATCAAGCAATGCTTTTCTGAATTTACTATTAATTGCTACATCACTGAGAGCAGTTATATAAACAGGGGTTTTATTGTTTTTAATTGTGAAATTAATTACAATTCTACATGTATTTAGAATACAGAGATATTACTGATACTAAATATTAGAAGAAAACTATATGTGATAACGCTCGTAGTATACATTGCCTATCATACTTAACGATGATGTAAAACGTTAGAGAATGATGTCCCATTAAAATTATAAGTCTTGCTACCTATTATAATTACTGATGACATATACACTCTAAAGGAGGAAAAATCATTATTTGCACTAATAGAGGAAGAATCACTATTTGTCAGACTATAATGATTTATAGGTAACAAAATATTTGAATATGTAACATTTTTGACCATGAGTACTTTCAGTAGCGTAAGTGTACACCCGCAATTGCTGGGAGCCCGAGCCAAAAGATGAGCCGAATCAGACAGAATCGTAATTGAAATTATTGGGAAATAAATGTAGGGGGCCCAATTATTCATTATGCAGGGGATAGGATCCATCTTTTGTAGCTACGCCACTGAGTACATTATAAATGAACATATAGAGTATTACCTGTTTTCCCCTATAGGCATGGACGTTAAAAAAGAGCAGCTTTTAGGGGTTGTGTTGGAGAATTATTACGTAGTGTAACTTAATTTATTTCTTTGTTAAAAATTCAGTCAAGGGAACTTATGCAAAAAGTTTGAAATTAAAATCAGGAACAACGTTTAAAATGCACAAAAGTTTATCTGGCACAAAGCTAAAACTAATACGATCAATTAAAGAAAGGGTAGATTTGGTGTTTAATTATGATTCTTATGAATATTTCAGTTTTACTGATGTAACTAATTTATCTTTTGACATGTTCTTGAATGTTATTTGTCGTTGTTATGCAATGCTACACAATGGCATCTCCGTACTCTGTCCACCCCGAAGAATTGAGCCCCAGAGTTTAGCGTTATAAATCTATAAGCCTTCCGTTGTCCCACCGAGGAACTTACATTTTAGCATACCTTAGTTGATTTCGTACAAACGTTTTGATATAAATATTTCGTTTTATAACACATACTCACTTCAGTGATTTGATGTTAAACAAGAAAATTATTATATCGTTGTTAATTTTTTTGGGCCTCATTCTGTGTGAATGTACTGCTTATAACCTGCCTTGGAAAAATCATTATTTGAATTCAAAGCGCATTGACAGTAATTTCATATTAACTTTATTTCTGACTGCACAGAAATTATAACCTTCATTCTACTTTTATTGCGTATACACACCTTCACTTGAAATAGCACTGAATTAAAATAAAAGTGGCTAGGCACAAATTACTTGATCTAGATGTTTCGGCTAGGTTTAAAAGTAACTGTTTTGATTTAAGGTAAAAAATTATTAAAAATGATTAGCTTAAATTGTTCAAACTATCTTATCATGTTTCAAAATTTTAATGGGAAAGTTAAGTACATTGAGGTGTGATATTGTATGGATAATTTAAGACTACAGATTTATCGAGCTATTTTATCAAAGGTTAATCGACTTATATTCTCAAAAGTGGAATAACAGTTTAAAATTACATTCAAAATCAATAATGTAAAGAACAATAAAAGCTGTACTTCGACTTGAAAATGTTTGATTATATAATGTTTTTAAATGTTAAATAATCCACAATAGAAACATTTAAAATTAATTATCACAACCTAGAGACAAAGAAACAAAACTAAATTATAAGAGATATATGTATTGCGATGTAAAATAGGTGATGTTCGTATTGGTTTCCTAATAATAGTGGCCCGGCATGGCCAGGTGGTTAGGGCGCTCGACTCGCAATCTGAGGGTCGCGGGTTCGAATCCCCGTCACACCAAACATGCTCGCCCTTTCAGCCGTGGGGGCGTTATAATGTGACGGTCAATCACACTATTCGTTGGTAAAAGAGTAGCCCAAGAATTGGCGGTAGGTGGTATTGACTAGCTGCCTTCTCTCTAGTCTAACAGTGCTAAATTTAGGGACGGCTAGCGCAGATAGCCCTCATGTAGCTTTGCGCGAAATCTATAACAAACCAAACTAACAAACTTAATGATAGCTTTGTTACAGTAAAAATGTATCATACATTATTAATTTGTCTTAAATTATCTATCCTACTGTTTCAACATTTAAAACTGAATTTTGATAGCTTTATCAATTCAATATTAATAAAAAAAACTGGCGTCTAAGCAGTAAGCTTAAAGGCTTAAAACGCTAAAATTCTGGATTCTATCTCTGCTCATGGTGCGGTTTTGCGCTTAACAACACAACAAAGAAACAATAACTACAGAATATATGTTCTTGAAGAATAGGATCATTTTTGTAATTTTCGAAATATTAAAAGGAAATGTAACACAATGCTTTTTAAATAACGAACACTTTTATGAAATATATAGTTGGTGTTGAATTTCGAGTTACATGAGGGCTATCTGCACTAGCCGTCCCCAATTTAGCAATGGTAGGTTACAGGTTAGGTAGCTAGTCAACACCACACACCACCAACTCTTGGGCTACTCTTTTAACAACAGATAGTGGAATTGACTATAACATTATAACGCCTATACGGTTGAAAGGGCGAGCATGTTTGGTGTGACGGGGATCCGAACCTGCGACCCGCAGATTACGAGGCGAGCGCTCTAACCACCAGGCCATGCCAGGCCCTGAAGTGTGATGTAATGGGTTTAAACTGTGGAAGATAAACTCAACCAAACACATCGATTCTAAAATTTTAAGCCTAGCACACAAGAAAGCACACAATCCGCCTGTTTTAAAATAATATATTCGAAACAAGTGAATTGTGTGCTGTTCGTTTATTGTTGAAATTTATCGCCAACAAGTCACAGACACCTACTGTAAAGAATCGCGGACATATAAAGCCTGACAGTGATGATGGTGTAAAAACAAAACTGTTAAGATAAATCATAGAAAAATAGTGACCAACAGTCCCGTTCTTTTGTATAAAGTAAATATTAGTAATGTTTACAAAATAATATTACTCATCCAGTGTTTGAAAAATAACGCTTTTAAAGAGATAGTTGTCTAATTTCGTGTCTGTGATGAATTACTCATAAGATAACATAAGCAATATTAGTTGTGAACTTTACTGACATTTACTAAAGAAGAGGATTTTGTTGATTCCAATGTATTTATTTTCAATATTCTCATTTTAGTAAACACAAGAAATATATTTATA